ATGAGGATACAACATTTAAATTAGTAAATTTCCTTTTAATAAATGCACAAGTGGAATTTAATTGCAAGGTCTTCAGTGGATACAGAGCATAGAGCGTTTGTGGGTACACGGAAACGCAGCTGTCTTGTTTTCTATTCTGAGTAATCTGAACTGTTGGTCAGAAGCTTCAAAGCTTGTGCTACATCTCATGTTACTGTAACTTAGAGTACCTTAGTGTTTTGATATGAAGATGAAACATAACCATCAGAGTGTATAATGCATTGTTACTATGCAGTGTGCTATCACGGAGCAGCGGCCATGTAGAATCTGGTTTGTGTGTTTTTTTTAGACGGAGTACAGGCACATGAGGATGTGGACATTGTTCTCAACACTGTTCGATTCTGTTTTCACTTCACTGGACCACAACATAACACGTCTTAGCTGTTCAACTTTTAACCAAACCGTGTCTTCCAAAACTGTAAATTTAACTATTACAACAATAGTTTGGTTTCTTGTTCTGTAACATATATATAGTTCTGACATTTTGTTCAACATTTCACAGGATTATGATCAAAAACTTTGGTAAAAAGGAAAATAAAGCCCTCCAAGCAAACAAGCGTACTAATGGTCACAACATAGACTGTAAAAGATGTAAAACATGACAGCTCCCCAAAAGTGAAGTCAAAGCATCTTGAGTGCCACCAGCCACCTTTAGGCGATAAACCCTGTCTCCTCCAAGCAGGTGGCAGATTGACCAAACAAACATCAAAATTGCGTCACATACATTTATCTCAAAGATGGTTTCTGTCATTTTAGGTAATTTTTATCGCACTGAATAGTTCGAATGCTATTTATTCCAGTTAGTTTAGTCTTAAATAGTTATTTAATGCTATAAAAATGAGGTGAAATTTCACAATTGACAGCTGATGACTCAGATTCTGGCTTCAAATGTGCAAGATGGCAGCGCTTACATTCAGGGATATTCAAGCTTCATTTCTGGATAGTGGGAGGACGTGGGGACACATCGTTCATCTTGATATACAGTGTGTCACGACACTCCATGGTTCAGACATCAGTCGTGTTAGCTCAGTAACTTATGTCAGCAATAAATAAACATTTTCACTGCAGCCATTTTGACATGAAATCAAATTATTTAAGGTTGTGCTCTATTTAGATTTGAGCCTTAATTCATGTGATTACCCACAGAGGAGGTTAAACAAAGCATTTAAGCTAAGGTCTTCTCAATTTGGGTGTGTGCTACTTAAAGGGGAAATAGTTCTCCAGTACAATCATCATCCAAAGTCAGACATGCCCGACCATTCACCCCAGCCTCTGCACTCATTAAATGGAGGTTTACAAGTCATCATTCGTCAGATGAATGATTTCAATCATGTGAATCAAGAAATGATTGTGGGGATGATGTTCTCATCACACTGTTGATCCTCTTCACAAACCCCTGGGTCCCTGAGCAGAATGTATGTGACAAAAGAGTGTGTTGTTGTCCAGACTCAGCTCGGTTCTTTCTTCATCCCCAGCATCTTCCCCAGGCGCACATGGAGCTGGTCATCCTGAATGAAAGCCAGACCACAACTCTCACCCTTTAACATGTGTTGCACTTGCATGTGCTTTAATCATTGAACAAGTCCATATTTGGCTTTAAAGTAGCCAATTATATTCATTCTCCTCCAAGAAGATGCAAGATGATTATCTTCTGTTTATAAGCTAACAAGTGCTGCTGCTGCACAGTGCTAAAACACCTTGGCCACGAGAAGGATAGAAATTCAGTGCGTGAAAGTAATGACCCCAAGGCATGAGTGGTCAGAGCCTTCATAGTGTGTGATTATGTTGTTCTCAGGATTCAGTAGTGGTTATTTTTATAGACAGAATATTTTCACCACTCAAGCACCACAACTCCCCAGATTCACTGTCGGTTGAACAATGTGCCTCCACATTAACTGTCTCTCTTGAGCTTGGGACTGTTGGTCCCATTATTTTAAAACAAGTGACTCTCGCTGAACCTACGATGGACTTTCCACCTTCACACTGGTGACGGTGGCTGTGAAGCATCTCTGAAACAGGCGCTCAGGGTCTGGCGGCTGGTTGTCACAGTCCAGCTTCCTGCTGAAGTGTTTCCTGAATCCCTGCGGACCAGAGGCACGGGTCGCTTGCGCATGGCTGGATCCTTCACTGGCATCTCCTTATGGAAAGCACATGGACAATTGCACAAAATTCACATTTCAAGTTGTGAAATCACTTTAGTCCTTAACGAAAAAGAAAAAAATGGTATTTAAATCCTGAAAATGCTGCTAGTTGCAAAGATGTATCTGTATTGAGGTCTTTCTGAAAGTCCTCATCAGAATGAAAGTAATTTCAAATATCATTCTGACCTTAAGAGAATCTACAGACAAACTAACTAACCTGGAACTCTGAGGGGTAGGCCGTTGTCAAGACGACTGGGTTTAGAGGCGATGAAGAGGTAGCAGAGGACACACACGGTAATGAGAAAGGCAAGGAGGACCACCGCTGCAATGGACAGACCAACCAGAGCTCCGATACTGAGAGGAGAGGAGAGGAGAGGAGATATCAATAAAAGAAAGAAAACCAAAGATCAAACGTGGTAACATTCAGTGTTTACCCCTTCACACACACACTCATCTATAGTTGTGAGGACACTTATGACATAATGCATTCCCTAGCCCCTTACCCTATCCTTTACCATCACTACTAAATGCCTAACCTTAACCATAAACTAGACCTAATTCTAACCCTGCAACAAAGCAATGTCCTCACAACGATGGTACTGAACCAAAATTGGCTCTCAGAATTGTAGATACACACACACAGTCAGGGGATGACTGGAGTAGTGGAAGTAATTAGGTTTCTGAATGATTTCAGGCCAGTGCTGGTTCTCAGGGGAATATCTGTGAGTCAGGGTTTGAGGAAGGTTTTTAATTTCTAGATGCAAAAAGTAAAGAAACAGCTGCAATTTCAAGAAATGAGTTCCACTCTGTCACCTCATTGGCTGATCAGAGGAGAAAGAAACCTCACTGCAACGTGTTCAATTAAATGACAAAATGAGTCAAATTAAAAAGATTAATAATCAGATTTATGAAAGAGGAAACAAGAAACTTTTTGTCACTTACCTCAGCCACCACATGTATCCGTACTCATAAGGGAAGAAACTGTTGGGATCATCGCAGCAGTATTTAACATCATTGAAGCCGCAGCAGAAGACAGCGGCGGCGGAGCTTCCAGGTTTGGGGCAAGAGAAGCTGTCCACGAACGCACCGTCAGTGCTGTAGTAACTGCTGC